CCACCCGGGCCGGGAGAAAGGGCTCCCGGGGCATGGCCCTGGCCCAGGCTGCTACGGGGAGCGCGCCTCGTTGTAGTCCCCAAACTTAAGAGTACCGTGACGTCGCTGCAAAACTTTTCCTGAGCGTACCCCGGGAGGAGGAGAGGGAGCCCCGGCCGCCCACGTTGCGCTGCTCGAGCCGCCCGCTCCTCCCACGTTTGCTCTAGAGAATGGAAACAGGAAACCCTCAGCTTTTTGGAATTCGTGTTTGTGATACCTGTAGTTTGCCGGAAGCCTTCCGTCCCATGTAGGAAAGTGTGGTGCTGGCCGAGTAACTCCAGGGTCTGTCCCAGGGTAGGTCTTTGTGGACCACGGAGGCAGTCAGCGCCCCAGTTCGGGAATTTTGTAGAAATTGAGTATGGGGGGGGACTCATGGCACCATCACCCTTTTGGTGGTGGCTCTGAAATTTCAGGAGCCCTCCCAGCGTGGGCAAAGAAGTGCTGAATAATATTCAGTGGGACTGATAGCGGTCACAGAAGCACATTAGATAGTCTAGATGGGAAAAAATTAGAATATTCGAATTGACTTAAACTGAAACTTTTCGCCACAGGTGACTAGCATGCAGATACCCATGCTCTGACTTGCTGCCCCTCTACTGACATGGCCCACCGGGGTGGGGAGAGGGACTTCCAGACTTCAGCTCGTCGCATGGGCACCTCACTGCTCTTCCAGCTTTCAGTGCACGAACGGGAACTGGACTTGGTTTTTCTGGACCATAGCTATGCCAAGCCATGGAGTGCCCACCCAGATGCCAGTAGTGCCCGCCCTACCCGCATGCTCTTTGTTACTCCCCGGAGGCAGCACGAGAATACCATGTGAGTTTGGGCTTCTTTCCCAAAGACTGGTACTGTGGGAACTGGGCAGTAAGAATTTTCTTGGGGATGATTGGGGGGTGTTGTGTGGGAAGGTTCGATGTTTAATTCGGGCATCTCTGTTGAGCAGCATAAAAATATCAGGCCTAAATCTGGACATTTTCACAGGAGACATCTCCTAAGAAGAGTTAGAAAAGCAAGATGTGTAAAGGAAAGCAGACTCCCTTTTGCACTTAGATAAGCCTTGTATGGGAAAAGGAAACTGAAGAGAATTAAATTGATGAAAAGGAATGCTAAGAAGTTGATTTTAAAAGATTACCACACACATCTGGGCATGGTGGCCCATGCCTTAGAAAGACCCTGTCTCTAAATAAAACAAACAAAAAGGGCTGGGGTGGAGGGGATATGGCTCAGTGATTAAGCACTCCTGGGGGGGCTGGGGATGTGGCTCAAGCTATATCGTGCTCGCCTGGCTTGCACCACATACAAACAAAGATGTTGTGTTGAAATTTTTCTCTCTCTCTCCCTCTCTCCCTCTCTCTTTAAAAAAAAAAAATAAGCACTCCTGGGTTCAATGCCTGGTACCAAAAAAAAAAAAAAAATTGCCACACAGGTCATGTATGATGGTACATCCTTATAATTGCAGCAGCTTGGGAGGATAGCAAGTTCCAGGCCAGCTTCCAAAATTTAGCAAGACCCTGCCTCAAAATAAAAAGAGCTGAGAGGTACTCAGTGGTAAAGCACCCCTGAGTTCAATACCAAAAGAAATAAAAACCAAAAATAATACTAAATGCCACAGTTCCAAAAATAAATAAATAATTGTCATACAGGGTAAGACCTGTGTCACTTTGATGCAGTGCTCTGGTTTGCTTGATAGTGGCAACAGTAGCTGTTTTGCATTTCTTGGCCTCACACACAGAGGTTGGGAGCAAATTCCTAAGACATTGCCTTCTCAATTTGGGTTGTTACCGAACTCCATGGTTTAATCTAAACCCTTCTTAGACTAGTATTTTCAGCCAGCCTATGTTATAGGATAAGGAAGTTTCATAAATTTATTACATGATAGGAGCTACAGTTACATTTGGCTTATATAAACCTGTTTGGCAATTCTTTTGATCTTTAAGGGAGTCTGATTTCTTACATTTTAAGACTTATTGATATGTTCAATTCTGATGATCAGACTATGCCCTTAATTATAATCTTTTTGGAGATTTGTTTTAATTTAACCTAATTTTAATCTTTCCTTAAGTACAGACTTTAGTTTTGTTGGGAGAGCTTCTTTAGATTCCATCTCACCCCCACCATTGAATCTTAGGGGACTATGATGTGTTTTTTAAATTTTCTTATTTTTATTTTGCAGTGCTGGGGATTGACCCTAGGGTATTGTTTATACTAGGCAAGCATTCTACCATTGAGCTACAACCCTCACACCCGCTGATGTGTTTTAAATACACATAGAATATTGGTTTTAATTTGTTTCTCAATGATATTAGCACTTTTTGTTGTATAGGACATAGGATCTGTGATATTAGGAAATAATCTAACACAATCTTTTTTATTTTTAATTTTTTTTAGTATTATAGATTGAACCCAGTGGCAGTTAATCACTGAGCCATATACCCAGCCCATTTTTTGTTTGTTTTTTTTTTAGAGAGAGAGAATTTTTTTTTAATATTTATTTTTTAGTTTTTGGTGGACACAACATCTTTATTTTTTTTATTTTTATATGGTGCTGAGGATCGAATCCAGCACCCCGTGCATGCCAGGCGAGCGTGCTATCGCTTGAGCCACATCCCCAGCCCCCTCAGCCCATTTTTTATATTTTGTTTAGAGACAGTGTCTTGCTAAGTTGCTTAAGGCCTTGCTGTGGCTAGCTTTGAACTTGCTATCCTGCCTCAGCCTCAGGAGCTGCTGGGATTATAGGCGTGTGCCACTGCATCTGGCCTCCTTGACATTTTATTCAGATTGTTTTGTTTTTTTGGTTTATTTTTGGGTTTGTTATGATGAAAGGGGAATCTCTGCATTGTCCAGTTAACCTCTAAATCCTGGGATCAAGTGATACTCCTCAACCTGGGTCTACAGACATGGACCCATGAACTAGAAGTGTAATCCTGATTCCTCTGTTCTAAGGCATACACAGAAGCTCCTTTAAATAGCATTTGAAATCTTTTCCTTTCTGTTATGTAAAGCTTCTTTCTAACATTGAAACTAACTCCTGGGTCCATAGCTCATTATATTAATTTTTTTTTTTTTTTTTTTTTTTGAGGTACTGGGGATTGAACCCAGAGCCTTGCACATGATAGACAAGCACTGAGTTACAACTCCAACCCTTTTTAAAATTTTAAGTCAGGGTCTTCCTGAGTTGCCCAGGTTGGGTTTGAAATTGTGATCCTCCTGCCTCATCCTCACTAGCAGTTGAGATTATAAGTGTATGTTTAAAGTAAGGTTCTGTAGAATTAGTTGTTTTGGTAGTTTGAAAATTATTTCCTCATATAAATCCTGTTTTCATACACAGACCCTGAAAATGGGAATTTGGCATATTGCAAGAACTATTTTTTAGGCCTTTGTGGCTAGAATATGGTGGCAGGTGGGAGTTAAAGAGAAGTTGGCAGAGGCAGTGTCAATTGATTCTAAGTGGTAAGAAGTCATTGAAGAATTTTAAGCTTGAGATCCAATTTATATTTTGAGAGGATCACTTTGGATTTTTAAAAAGTAGATTATAGTATAAGAGTGGGATTTAGAAGACCAGCTAGAAGGCCACTGCAGTAGCCTGAGATGAGCTAGACATCATGATAGCCTGGAGGGGCTGGGGTTGTGGCTCAATGGTAGAGCGTTTGCCTATCATGTATGAGGCACTGGGTTCTATCCTCAGCACCACATAAAAAAATAAATTATTTTCACATACAAACAAAGATGTTGTGTCCGCCCAAAACTAAAAAAAAAAATTTTAAAAAGGGGGGGGCGGCTGGGGATGTGGCTCAAGTGGTAGCGCACTCGCCTGGCATGCGTGTGGCCCGGGTTCGATCCCAAGCACTACATACAAACAAAGATGTTGTGTCCGCCCAAAACTAAAAAAAATGATAGCCTGGAAAGGGAGGGGAACAGTACAAAGGAAAAAGGTTCAATTAGGATGCCTCCTAGATCTTTGGCTTGAGTAGCTGGATGGTGCCATGAATTGTGAAGACTGAGGGAGGATAGGTTTGGATGCTGAAATCAAGAATAGTCTTGGAGGCACACAGGTCCACAAGTGTTAGCTCAGTGTCTGATCTGAGAAGATAATCCACTCTTTGTCCACTACCAAATCTAGCAGCACAATTATTCACTTCATTCCATAATGACATGACTATTCCAGTCATTGGGAATGGATGCAATACGATCATAGAGGTCAAAAAGTTAATATGATATTGAGGAAACAGCTAGTAGATCAGATTGATTGGCATGGTATTTCTGGAGACACAGTTTGTGCAGTGTACCTAATGAGTTGGGGAAGGACCCTCATGGCACTAGAATTTCATTAGCATCATTCTAAAATGTGAAAGATGCTTCAAAGATCCATTTATATTCATTTTTGTGGTAGGTGCTACACAAAGTGAGTTAGATAGCTAAGCTGTCTGCATACCAGGTGATCTTAGAGAATCACAGACTTGTATAAGATATAGTTAACTACCAGTTAACTAATGAAAAGGAAAGTTTATATGAATCATTTAAAACTCCAGATCAGTGCTGTCCAGCAGAACTCTGCATGATAGAAATGCTATAATCCTGTGTTGTCCAATATGGTGGCCAGTGTGCTGAGCATGAGAAATGTATCTGGTGTGATTAGGAAGTGGATTTCTTTTTTTTTTTTTTTTTTAAAGAGAGAGTGAGAAAGGAGAGGGAGAGAGAGAGAGAGAGAGAGAATTTTTAATCTTTATTTTTTAGTTCTCGGCGGACACAACATCTTTGTTGGTATGTGGTGCTGAGGATCGAACCCGGGCCGCACGCATGCCAGGCGAGCGCGCTACCGCTTGAGCCACATCCCCAGCCCTGGATTTCTTTTTTATTAATTTTTTAAAATCTATATATGATAGCGGAATGCATTACAGTTCATGGAGCACAATTTTTCATATCTGGTTGTATACAAAGTATATTCACATCAATTCATGTCTTTATACATGTAGGAACTAGGTTTTTAAATTGATTTTATTTAAATTTATTTAGGTAGTCATATGTGGCTTATAACTTCTGTATTTGTAATTACATGTATCTACGTAATTAACTATTTGTCTTTCTTAAAAAAGCTGTTGGTTACTTTTTAAAATCACTTAATGATTTTATGTGCCTTCAGCACCTATCACAGAGAGTGCAGAGATCTAGAGGAATGTGGGAAAGATGACTTTGGATCAAAAATTTCTTGTAGATAAATGTGCTCATGTATAGTATATAAAGTGTCTGTTAAAGAGACATTTTTCTGTAACCAGATGATTGTTAAACACGAGTATTATGGGGAGTATTTGTGGCCTGGTCCCATTTTCTCGCCTGTTTACAGTGAATCAGACGTCCCAATAGATGTGGAGACAGTCACATCGACTCCCGTGCCACTCTATGACAACCAGAAGGCGCGCAGCGTGATGAATGAGTGCGAAAGGCATGTCATCTTTGCCAGGACTGATGCAGATGCCCCTCCTCCACCAGAGGACTGGGAGGAGCATGTCAACAGGTAGGTCACTCCTCAGAAGTATGGGTTAATGTCACCACCCTGTAATTATTTTGTATCATCCTCTTCATGAAAACATTTATTGGAAATCACATAAATTTCATGGAAACATTTATTGTAGCAACATAAATGGGAATATTCTTCTGATTCTTGCCTCATAACTGTCAGTTCACTCTGCTGTGAGCTCCTTGAGAGCAGGGCCGCCATCTCAGCCATCTCAGCATTCCTGACACTAGGGCATTTCCTGGCATACAGTAGGCAGAATGTCTACTGAGAGCTCAGCATAATCCCAGCCACTCAGGAGGCTGAAGCAGAATTGTTTGAGCCCAGGAGTTTGAATCCACCCTGGGCAAGACCTTCTCTCTCTCTCCTTTATTTTTTCCCCCCAGTACTGGGGATTGAACCCAGGGGCACTTTACCACTGAGCTACATGCCCAGCCCTTAAAAAAAAGTTGGAATCAGGGTCTCACTGAGTTGCTGAGATTGGCCTCAAATTTGTGATCCTCCTGCCTCAGCCTCCTGAATTGCTGAGATTACAGGGGTCACCTAGACTCCTATAAACATACATTTGTAAAATATTACATTTTTATGGTCTATAGCTAGGATAGTGAAAATGTTTTGGAATCACATGAAAAGCCAACAGATGTCTGAGTGGCTTTAAAAATGGATTTGCAGCTGGCTGTGGTGGTACATGCCTGTAATACCAGCTGCCAGGGAGGCTGAGTCAGGAGGATTGCAAGTTTGAGGCTAGCTAGGTCTATTTAGACCCATCCCAAAATTTAAAAAGAGAGGAAGGGTTGAGATTACAGCTCAATACTAGAGTACTTGCCTAGCATGTCTGAGCCCTTGGGTATAATCTCCACTGTTCTCAAACAAACAAACAAAAAAAGATTTGCAATCTCTGTTTTTGCAGGCATACTTTCCTGGGTGTGCTGGCTAGTTTTGTTTCCCTGCCTCTTTCTGCCTCCAGCAGACTCGGCATTCTTCCCTTTTTCTGTGTTCATTTTGCAAATGTTTATCTTTTACATAGCAACTTTTTGGAGGTTTATTTGCACACCCTGTAATTCACCTGTTTAATGTGTACAGCCAGTGTTTTTTAGGGTAAATTTAGAGTTGTCCCCCCAAAAACACCCTAGACAGTTTGATGAGCTATTTCATCACCTCAGGAAGAATTCTATTCTCATTAGTTGTCACTCCTCATTCCTCCCAACCGCTCTGGTCCCTGGGAGGCACCAGTGTTCTCTCTGACGTAGATTTTGCCTATTCTGGACTTGGTGTGTGTGGATTGTGTACTGCAGTGTTCCCCGGGATGGAGTCTTTGGCTTGTGCTTAGTGTAACGTTTCCAAGGCTTATGCTTGCAGAAGCATGTAGGTCATTCCTTTTTGTCCAGTGATATTCCATTGGTTAGGTAGCCCACATTTTATTTGTCCACTGAGTGTTGATGGACATTTAGGTCGTTTTCACTTTGGCTGTTATGAAAATGATGCTGTGAACATTTGAATACAATTTTCTTTCTGTGTGGGTGATTCTGGGGATTGAACCCAGAGCCTTATGCATGCTAGCCAAGCACTCTACTGTACAAGTTTTGTGTGGATGTATATTTTCAGTACCTAGAAGTGAAATTGCTGGATCATGTGTATAGTCACTCTGTAGGTAACTTCTGAGGGACTGCCAGACTGTTTTCCCAAGTGGCTGCATCATTTTGCATTCATACCAGCAGTGAATGAAAATTATAATTTCCCCATATCCTTGCCAACACTTATTATTTGCCTTTTATCTTCGGCATTATTATCATTCTAATGGACATAAAGTAGCAACTCAAGGATTTTAATTTGCATTTTCCCATTGGCTATCTGCATTCATATCTTTTATACATAAGGAAATGTTACTTTTTGCCTCAGGAGCCTGGTAGATGGTAAACCTGCAGTAATGTTGGAGAACTTTTATTTTATAGTAATAAAAGAGAGGTAGGGAAGTTTGAGGGGACTGATGTGATCTATGAGGCTGGTTAGAAGTGGGCAGTAGTGTTGAGGAGAGGAACAGCTCTCTAGGTTGCTTTAAAAGCTAGTGAAGAGCTGGGCATGGTGGCACGTGGCTCGGGAGGCTGAGACAGGAGGATCGTGAGTTCAAAGCTAGCCTCAGCAAAAAGCAACTCAGTGAGACCCTGTCTCTAAATAA